GGACAGGTGAGGTCATACAATGGCAATGCTGATGAAGCCGATGACGCCGAAGCCAACGATGACGATGTCATGACGATGACGATGATGTCATGACGATGACGACGATGTCGCAATGACGATGACGATGACGACGAAGCTGATGAAGACGATGAAGATGATGAAGATGACGATGACGTCACGACAATGATGATGTCACAACGGCGATGACATCATGATGATGACGATGATGACGAAGAAGACGACGATGACGATGACGATGATGAAGATGACATCATGATGATGACAATGATGACATCATGACGATGACGATGATGAAGATGACGATGACGTCATGACGATGACGATGATGACAATGACGATGAAGACGATGACGTCATGACGATGTCACAATGACGATGACGTCATGACGATGATGAAGATGACGATGACGATGATGAAGATGACGTCATGACGATGATGTCACAATGACGATGACGTCATGACGATGATGATAATGACGATGACGATGAAGACGACGTCATGACGATGATGTCACAATGAGATGGTGATGACGTCATAACGATGACGATGACGATGATGACGAAGATGACCATGACGATGACGATGACGATGATGAAGATGATGATGACGTCATGATAATGATGATGATTAAGACGATGACGTCATGAGAACAATGATGACGATGATGATGACGATGACGATGACGATGACATCATGACGATGATGACGATGGCGACGATGACGATGATGATGATGATGATGACGATGACGACGATGACGTCATGACGATGATGACGATGATGACAAAGATGATGACGATGACGATGATGAAGATGATGATGACATCATGATGATGATTAAGACGATGATGTCATGACGACGATGACGATGATGATGACGATGACATCATGACAATGATGACGATGACATCATGACGATGATGATGACAAAGATAATGACGATGATGATGAAGATGATGATGACATGATGATAATGATGATTATTAAGACGATGACGTCATGATGACGACGATGACGATGACGACGATGACGATGATGATGACGATGATGATGACGTCACGACAATGACGATGACGACGATGACGATGATGAAGATGATGATGACATCATGATGATTATTAAGATGATGACGTCATGATGATGATGATGACAAAGATGATGACGATGATGGTGATGAAGATGATGATGAAGATGATGATAATGATGATTATTAAGATGATGACATCATGATGATG